CCAAGCCACACTTGCCCTGACATCAGTTAAATACCATCAGTGTTAGCACAGGCCCTCAGTAAATTGTCCCTCCTAGGAGTTGCTCATGCCTTTCTCATTGTTACTAAAGGGGTGGGGCACGTGTTGCAGGACACCACAGCAGCCTTGGAGCCCTGGGAAAGTCTGATCTTGGCAGGGAGCAGAGCAGAAGGTCAGACCTGTGGGCTGAAGCTTTGCTGCTGGCTTAAAACTTGTCACCTCAGTCAACAGACACTGAATGATGTTTTATTTTGAGTGAGATCCTTTTTCTGCTGTGCAGGATAGATTGTTGTTTGTAAGTTCTATATGTGTGGAATTGCAGCAATCAGAAGGTGGAACAGCTATCTGAGAGCTGCTGTGAGGATGCTTTGGGAAAAATAACTGCCTGTGTTAAAGGACACCTTTTCTGAGGCCCAGAACATACTTAGAACCCAGTACGATTTCTGGATGCACTGGGTGTACTGAGGGTCTGTCAGAGCACAGAAATAGAGGAGTAGATGGGTTTCTTTTAATTACTTTGTTATGACTGTTCCATGTGCAGAGTAACTAATTCCTGCTGACTTCAGCCAGCCTCCCACTCAGTGTCTGTAGGGACAGGGCTGTAATTCTGCATCTCCATTGTAGAGAGCAAATGATCACTTCATTTTGGTCAAACCTGATGTTTTAGTGCATTTCTTAGAGCCATGCTGTTGTAGGGCTTCCTAAATACCCAACTTCCTGTTGTGCTATTTGTCCTAACAAATGTCCATCTGTCCTGCTTCCATCTCTGACCCCAGGGCTTAATGTACCAGGATGCATCCAGGTGGGGGATAACTCTGCAGACCTATGTCCAGCTGACCATGCTGGAGCAGCACACTAGGCCCATGGTAAGGAAACTTCTTTTAATTTTAAGAGCAATTAGGTGTGGTTATGAGTGCTAAATCCTTTTAACCTTGTGTTCAAGAGTTAGGATGCTGCGTGCATTCATTCTTTGTTCCTGCAGTGAGTAGGAGGTTCTGTGGTTCAGACATTGATATGCTTAGTGTGTGCTCTGGGGGTAAAAACCTCTGCCTCCTGCCTGCTCACAGCTTCCCCAAACTGACCCTGCTATTTGGGCACACCCTCCAAGGCTAGGCTTGTATAAATCTCTGACTCATTTTATGTCAGTGACTTGTCTGTAATTTCATTATTTCAAATCTTTGGCAAACACCAAGTAATCTCCTGTTAAAATTCATAGTACTGCTTCGTGCTGTCTAGTACAAATTCAGCCATTGTTTCTTCTGTTTATGCAAAATACTTCCACTACCATTTTCTATTCCTTTTTCAGGTAGTTGACATACTTTTTTTTTTTCTCATATATTTTTTTTTAATATTAAATTTCACATCCTACCTTTTAATCAAGATTTCTCCATTCTTTTCTCCTTCAAATACCTTTTGTTACATTCTATGCTGTCTTCCATTCCCTGATTACAAGACCTGGTCTTAGATGCCATGCTTATATTTTACTGATTGTTCTTATGTCCTGTTTTCTGAGTTTGTGTTGGGGCAGACTTCTGGCAGTGCCAGATATGAAAGTGACACACAATCATTATGTTTTTGGAAGAGGTGTTTTTCCAAGGCAGTAGAAATCCTGTTCTGTTGGGGAAGAAGTTCATTCAAGAATTCCTGATAATTTCCCTCTGTTTCAATCTGAGCTGTTTTGTCATTTGAGCCTTGCTGGACCATTTTTGCTTTGTTAATGTGCAGAAACTTGGGTGAGAAGTTGCTCTGCCAGGCCCAGGGGTGTCAGAGGATCTCCAGCTCCAGTGTGAAGTGCTGGTGGAACGTGTGCAGGACTGGCTGATGCCAGGGCTCTGTCAGCTGCAGTTACTTCTTTTAAAAGTCCTGCTTCCTTTCTTGAATGTGTCTGATATCAGCCCTGCGCTGTGACCCAGCAATGCATGGGATGTGGCAGCACTTTGGGAGCAATAATTCCCATTGTCCAGCAGATCCCAAGTGGATTGCTGCTTTTTTGTACCCTGACTTACCTTCTACTGCTCAGCTGAATGCTGAGCACTTGGCTTTGAACTGGTGTCTGAATAATAAATCAGAGTAAGATGAGGAGTCCTTGTTTGCTTTGTGGTTCCAACCCTCCCAATAAGTTTGTTTCTCACGAGATTTGGAAATGGTGTTTCATATGTGCCATATGAGTGTGAAAAGAAACAAGCATGAAAATGACAAGAGTGAAGTTTTTATGTTGCAGATTTCCCCCATAAGGATGATGGAGCGGTCGATTCACAGTGCAAAACATGTTTTTGTGGAAAACCTCTATCGAAGGTATGGGATATGGTTTTCTGCTTTACTTTCTTGGATTCATTATTTTAAATATATATCTAATCAAATGATAATTTCTTTGGTAATGTGCTGCCTTTAAGGGGCCTGTGAAATCTGCAGTTCTGTGTTGGTATGGGCTGTGCTGCCCACTTCCTGTAGGACTCTGGAAAACCTTTTTCAGCAGTGCTTCTGAGTATGTAGCACTCAGTATTATTTAGACACCATCTGTTGAAGTTATCTGCTTTCCAGCTGAATACCCAAATCTTGCTTGAATCAAACACATGCTGGACAGGTAAAAAACCACAAACATAGAATAAGACTGTAGGAGGGAGAGGACTGGGGCACTGTTATCCAGCCTGGTATCCAGGATTGCATTTCTTGCAAGCAGGGTCTCAAGTCCTGTGCTCTTGCTCAGAATCAGGATTGGCAGGATCAAAATAGATTGCAAGCCTTGGTAGGTTGTGAGTAAAGAAAGAGCAATTACAACAGTGACACCTAACTGCCCTAGGTATAACTCCCCAGAGTAACTGAAACAGTGCAGGGGTCAGGCTTTTGTTTGTTTGGAATACTGGCCTTCTGTCGAGGAGTGAATGTGACAGATGGTTTTTGCTGGGTTTTTCAGGGGCCTTGAGGGACAAATCCAGTTTGTGCCACAGGGTGTCATCCATGCTGCACGAGCACCTCTTTGCCACGGGAAAGCCTTTGGAAGTTATTATTCATCCCAGTCCTCACACAGTGCAAGCTGTCTGGATTATCCTCGGCATATCCTCTTTTTTAGTTACTGGCTTCTTTTGTCATTCTAGACAAACTGCTTTTTTTCCCAAAGAGTTAGTTGCCATGAGGCTAAATCTGTTTGTGCCAACACTGTGAGTTAATAATAACAATTTTAAGGACATCTAAGATGTTTTGTGGCTTCAGTAATTTTTAAATGTTTAAAAAAAGGCATTTGCTTTGTTTTGTTACAGCAAGCTAAAAGGCAACTGATAGTACCAACAGCAAGCCAAAAGAAAAGGACATGTAAAAGGACTATAAATAAATTGAGGAATGTATGAAAGTAGCTGTTTTGTGGCACATTAAAAAATGAGTCAGTCTGGCTGTGTTAGGTGAGTCTTAAGTGTGTGCACATGAGTGTGCAGGGTGTGCTGTAGGTGAGCACTGCAGTCCACGTCCCTCTGAGTCCATCACTGGATAGAAACCCGCTCTGCTCATTTTGGACTTAGGCAGTAAAAGCCTGACTTGGTAGCAGCCAAATGCCAGCAAACTTTGGAAATGTAAATTTTGTGCTTTTTATATACCCTGTATCTTTATGGATCTTGAGCCAGAGTCCCCCCAGGATTACCAGGGATAGCAATCATGTGCTGTCCATAGGGCAGGCCAGTGCAGAATTGACTTGGATGTATTTGTCTTCTAGGGTAAGGAAAGGAAAAAAAAAAAAGAAAAAAAAAAGAGTAGAGCTTTTTCTTATTTCCAGTTCCTTTCAGTCTTCCTGTTTCCTCCATCTGTCCTGGAGAAAAGTAGCTCTATCAGAGTTTGGCTGATGTAGATCCCTGCTACCCAGAATTGATGTGATTATCAAGAAGAGCAGCAGTGGCCAGTGTTACCCCATTTCTGGATGGCAGATCAAAAGGGCATGTGGTACAAACAGGGATTTTTGCATTTTTCCATACTTAGGAAAATATCTTTATTACTTTTGCTCAATTTTACAAGTGATCAAAGCAAGTTGCCAGGGGACTGGTTTAGAAATCTGTGGAATATTTTTTTCAGTCCTATTTAAAATGGCCAAACTGATCTTAATCATTCAGCTAGAGGGCACAGGAGCCTCCCAGCTCCATCTTTCTTCTTAACATTTTTACTATTGCAGAAGTGTTTAGGAAAGAATATGGGGTGTGTGTTACTGTAACCAGTTTTGAAGAGAGGATACTATAATATTTGACAATCAGGAATATGGTAATAAGTGAAAATTGATACACTAATGAAAACATGTTATGTGATTCCTAACATGTCCTCAGTAACTCCCTTTTACTTTAGTTCTCTGGTACTTTATTGTTGCTAAGATAACTTTGGAACATTTGTTTCCAACATTCTGTGCTCTTGAGTTTAGAGTTAAGCATATTGAATATTTCACTACTCTTTTCACAAATATTTTTTACAGTGGGAGTAAATTTATTTACACATTGACATTATATTTTTGCTGCCTTTTACTGTGGCTTCTGTAAAGAATTGTTGGTGCTGCGCAATAAATCCAGCCCTTCTGGTGACATGCTCTGGGACA